ACGTTCGCCGCAAGTTACGTAACCAAGCCGTTAACGCAAGAGTAGGATCCAACTCCGATTCGATGTATCGTAAGCTCGGATTAATTCATACAAGAGCAAAGAATAGAAGGCAAGGGTTAATAGAAGAACAGGTTGAAGGAAAGACTTAGAAGAGAAGAATAGTACTTACTTACGGATAAACTACCCAGCCAAATCTAACACACCTATTTCGACTTAGCCACCATAGGTTACGCAAGAATTGGATTAGAGTAGAGACAGGATCGCCAAATCCCAAATCACAATATCTAATAATAAAATTTTTTAATAAAAATAGTTAGTAGATTTAAAATAAATAAAAATATAATATCTTATTATTATTATTTTTTTTAAATTTTAGCATTGCTACTAGTTAGTTTATTAGAATTTTTTTTTTACTTTTGCAAGGCTGTAGTTATTAGTAATTACTATTTTTAATAAATTTTAATTATAATTATATAACTTGTATAAGATAAGAGTACAACTAGTCATATATACAACTTTTGGTTATCTATTTAAGTAGTTAACTTGCAAGATCTATACTAGTTGCCATATTTGTAATTTGTTAAAAGATTACTTATTTAAATACTCTAATTTTTATACTATATATAACAGATATTGTACAAATTTCTATACATCTAAATGATATCTAACCTAACTTTGATTTTCATTCTGTATATCCATTAAGCTATTACATATTTTAAAGTATATTATCTAACTATAAGGCTTTAGAGAGCCTTCCTGCTAACTAACTACTAGAGTTCTGCAATTTGATTTGATTTGATCTGATTTAATTAAATATTTAAATTCAAATCAAATTTAAATTCGAAATTTTTAAATCAAATCAAATTTAAATATAATCAAATTAGATTTAATTATCAAATATTTAATTTAATTTAAAATTTTATAAATAAATATTTAAAATTATAAGTTATTTATAAAACTAAGAGTATTTTATTTGGAAAAATACTTTTATTTAAAAGCTCAAAATTGATTAATATAGAAAAATTTTTATAAATTAAGTTTTTCTTTTGCTAATTAAAATTTTAAAATTTTTTTAAAATCAAATTAAATTTAAATATTTGAATTAAATATTTGATCAAATCAAATTAAATTTAAGATATATTTGATTTAACCAAATTCAAATTGATCTAATATTTAATTTTATTTAGATTTGAAAAACTCTACTAATTACTTATATTTAGTTTTTATTAATAGGACTCACTTTTGCAAACTTTATTCAAATCTTATAGCATATTTTTAGTATTTAAAGTATACTTCTGCTTTTGTTATTAGATTTTTAATCTAGATAGTCTAAAAGGACTATGACCTGTTTTTGGTATACTAGAATTTCATTTTCTAATATTTTTTTTCTAATTTGAAACTTCTGACAGTTTGGTTAATAGTACTTCTTATTTGTGATTTTTGTCTGCCTAATTTCTCTATATTGATATTTGTTTTTAGATTTATTCTTTACAATAATACTATCAAAGCTTTATATAATCTTTTTATTTAGATCTTCTTAAGTAGGCTTCAGCTTTATAGTTTTACAAATTTATATAATTACAAGAATCTATTTTGAATTTGTACTGCCTAGTATTAGTTTGCATTTCTCTGTATAATCAGTTACATATATACTTTATGATCTGCTAATTATGTAGTGCAATTTTAGTTAAGTATCTTATTCTAACTGATTAACAAAATGCTATTACTGTAATATCATCTATATATTACATAGATTATTATTCATATTTTTAATATTAGTAGATTTTAAATTCACAACTCACTATTGGAAGATTAATAACTTATTTATTTTACTAAGTTATTATATATTAGTTTATTAGATTTTAAATATTATATAATATAATTTATAGTTATATTTCTTTATAAAATTAATTATTATTAATATTATATTAGCTATTTTAATTTTTATTTACTAACTTTATCTAACTATCTATATAGTGTTTAAGTTTGTATTTATTGCATACTTGTATACAGTTATTGTAATAACTACTTGCAGTCAGAATATATTATTAAATTGCTATATAGACAAGAATATCTTTGAATGTAATATGATATTTTAATATTAAAAATACTATCTTCTATAATTGTATCTATATATTTTATTTATTTGTTTTATCTAGTTTAATTTATTTTATCTTTTAATCTAATTATATTTAGTAATACTTTATTCTTTACATTTTTTATCTTTTTGTTAATATATTATTTTCAAATTAGTACTACTTAGATATATTTAATTCTTATAATTTTTTATCTTTGATATAACAGTTATTGTTTTTTCTAAAGTTTTCAGATAATGGTCTAAGATTTATAATAAATTCATATCTCAAACTAGACCTACTATTATTATTAGTTTTTTTAACAATTTGTATCTTAAGTTAAATCTTTTGCTATTGTTCATACAAATGCTTTAGATTTTAATATTATATACTAACTTGGTACTATATTTATTTTCAACAAAATAACCCTTTTATAATAGAAACTATGACTTATTGTACTTATAAATAAAACAATTATAGTTATATATAAGTAGTTTTTTTGATTATAGTAATATTATATTAGCATATATTATATACTTTCAGCTTATTTAATATAATTTGTAGAATAATTCTAATTATAACTAAAAAGCTACATTGACCCTAATAATATATCATTTTATAAATTTTATTTCATAGTAGTTAATTAATTCTAATCTTGTTTGTTATAGAATTATATTAGTCATCTTACTAAGCATAATATACCAACTTGATATATTTGAATTAAAATATAATTATACAAAATTTACATATTAACTTGTAATTAACTAAATATATTTAATATTTGAAGATTTATAGAATATATTTATCAAAAAAATTAAATTAATTTTTGATTAGATATTGTTTAAAAAATCTTAAAGTTGATCAATTTTTTTAAAAAAAATATAAAAAATAAAATTTTTTTTTGATATATTTCTAAATTATCCAATCATAATAAAGTATTTTTTTGTATTATTATGCAAATATCTTGATGTAACCTTTATGCATAAATCTGCAAAATTTTAACTATGATTATTATATAAAAAAAAGGTTATAATAAAAAGCAAATTATCTATTTAAATTAGTTTATTATATAAAAAATTAATAATTTAATAACAGTTTCTATTTGTACACAGGGTGTGCAAACATGGGCTAATAAATTTATTTAATTTAGTATAATTATGTGATTATTTATAAAAAAATTAGGTTTATATTAAACCTAAGTTTAATATAAGCTGGTTACAACTCTAAAATCTATATAACAATAGATTACATAACTTAAACTGACAAGGCATTTTATTGTATATATTATAAATTAACTATTACAAGGCAAGGATGTGACAACTTAGTGAAGTGGATAAGTTGTCATACTTCCAAGTAGTAGGTTGTGAGTTCAAAACCAACTAACGGTAAAATTTGGATAATCACTTATGTAATATATAAACAGTATTATAGTGACAGCATTCTGTCGATCAGTTGGGATAGGATATCTGTAACTATAGTTGCACCAGCATGACTGGCAAGTCTGGGGCATCTGTGTAACCTGTTATACAGAGGAATGCAAACTGATACCAGGTGGTGCAAACCTAAAATAAGTCCTCAGGCTGTAAGAACCTGTAAACCTGGGAAGCCAGAGCCTACTTGAAAATTCTGAGCAGAGAGGTAACACAGATCTTCAATAGTACTATTGTAAAAGCTAGACCTAGGAAATGGATACCAATATGAAGGATTCAGGCAGGCAAGAACCTTGGGTAAAGGGTACTACCAACCAGGCTACTAGATTTTAGACCAGAGAAAAAGAATATTAGGCTGGTCCCAATATACTAAGGACAGGTCACAGTCCATCTGGGCTATCTGAATTGAGAGTCTGAATTCAAAGCAGGAGTATATTAAAAGTACTAGGAATATACTGTAAAGTCAATACTAGAGTTTGGATGAACTCTGTAAGGGTAGCCTATATTAGTGTTCTAAAAGTGAATAGATAGTAACAACAGGGGGCCTTTTGCGTCTTACTGGCAGATGATGTATTTTGAAATGTATAATGGCCTAGGAACTAGTACAAAAAGGGTAGGTATCATACTGCTCAGATGGTATACTGGTTAGGTATATATGAAGGATTCCAATATGATAGGACAGATAATTAGAGAGTTTAAATAGATAATCTCCTAGTAGATTATAGATACAGCATCTAGTATAGAACCTTAGAGCAGACTACTTAAATAGGCAATCAAAAGTTGCTTGTGTGACTAGTGTACTCTCATCTTTGTAAATATAGTTGTAATAGCTAATCTGATATAAAGTTAATAAAGTATTGCTACAAGTATAGCTTTTAAAAAAAAAATATTAAATAAAAAAAAATAAATAAAAAAACTATTATAAGGCTTTACTAACATTAATTTAATACTAACATAAGATTATTTACAGATCTTTATAATGCTAGCAATAAAATAAATAAAGTAATAAAAGTTAATATTGTAGCATTTTACAATTAATATGATTTATAATATCATGCTATGATTTGATACCTCAAGTAATTAAACTAAGAAATTATTAATTATTTAAATCATTTGAATTATTAAACTAATTTGAACTCTAAAACTATTCTCAAACACTCACTTCTTAATATAAAGTTAATATACATTAGCAATATTAATTAGTTCATTTGGTTTAGTCTATCTAATTCAAAAGTAAAAATCGAACTAGTTATGTTTAGTTCAAACTAAATTTGAGTCTTAATAAAAGTTCAATTCAAAATAAACTGAACTAGTTAAAGTCTAAATGTAATATAAACTAAATTTACTTGAACTATTTAATATTTATAACTACTAGTAGTTTTCTAAACTTATAATAACTGTTTTATATATATGTATTAACAACTATTTTGCTAGTACAATACACCTTACATTTAGAATAATCAAACCAATTATATCAAATTATTCCTAAATCTAATTATAAATAGTCACATGTCTTTGCATAATAACTATACTCTTTATATTTGCCATATTTATAACTCTTACTATCACTTACAACTTCTTTAATATTTGAACCTGTTTCCAAATCTTTGTTAATTATATTTAGTAACATATTATCTTTTAGTTGATATTTACTTTTGCTTGAAGTTTCTTCTGCAATTAATTTTAATCTTTTGGAAGGGTGTTCCTTATGCCTTGTTATAATTGGATTGTTGACATTCTCATCATGTTTTTAATTAACTTTTACTTTATTTTGTGTATTATAAAGAAAATTATTAAGAATATCAGATAGTTCATTGCCTAAGTCAGCTTTAAGTGCAAGGTCAACTATCTTTTTAGACAACCTGAATAACTTTGCATATCTTGCTTTAATTAGATTAGTTGTTGTTTTACAGCTTTGCCTAATTGAAGTTAGATGCTCTAGTGTTACTTATGGTATAACATCAAGTACCTCTTGTTGCTCAGATATTGAAATAGGCATTGCGGGTATTTGTTGGAACAGAACATTTGATGTAATATTTGGCTTCAAATACCAATGACTTGGAACAAGAGTTATATGAAATATAACTAATAGCAAATATGTACTAACATAAAAAAAATACTACCAAATTAATTCTTTGTTCATTAAAAGAAGACAGGTACATAGGTGTATATCATTATTAAGTAGTATCACATAATGTTTATGTCTAGAAGTTTTTGTATAAAGCATATGCCACACTTGAAAAATCTTTTTATATAGAATATTCTGTATTAATAAAGTAAATAGAATTTGGCATGTATCATGTTCTTGTTCTCTAACCCAAAGTCCAATAGTACTTTTGTCTATATGACCCTATTATTAAACCTGTATAACATTAGATCAATTAAAAAAAAAAAAAATAAAATACTTACCTTGATTAATTTATGTCATTTTTAACATATATAATATTATAGCAAACACTTATGTTCATTTGATTTCTTTGTTTATCAAGTATTGTGAGTGTAAAAAATTGCTTTAAAATTTTATCAAGCTTTGAAAAAAACTGATTATTTAATAGTAGTAATTCAGTTGTTGGAAGTGCATTATGTTAAATTTTAAACTTTATTAAGTGTTCTTTTTGGCTAACATAATTATTTAGGCCAGCAAGTAAACTACATAAAGAAGTTGCATGATCAACTTTCTGCTTAATATGCATGTTGATAGATTCGATTTTTTGGGTGCTTTGTGCATCTGCTGTAAAGATTTTGTTAATCCAGGCTGTTGCCTATGACTTCTTATTTCTATAAAGAATATTTAAGTAATTTACAGCTGTAGAATAATTATTTAACAGTTTTTTCTATTTATTTTTAAAAAAATCTTTATATAAGCTATTATGACAAATATAAAAATCTGAATAAAATACTTCAAACTAAGAACCTAATTTATATTTTAAATGCTTTTTAATATTCAAGTCTATATAAAAAATATACAGTATATGGTTGGTACTAGGATATATATTTTTAATTGAACTTATCATAACTGGATTACTATCTGTAAATATTGTTGTTGAGTAATACTTGTTTACTCTAATAACTCTTCAAAAATCTATTGAAATGTATCAAATATTTCATTCTCAATTATGCTATATGCTACAATTCATATTTTAAAATAATTATCGATTACAATAATTATAAAAAGCATTTGTTGAAAATAATTCATATTTGCAATAGTGTCTATTATTACAATATCATGAAAAGTCTCATATAAATTTCTTTGAGATGACAACTTCTAGAAAAGTAAAACTAATCTTCTAGATATAGGTTCTAGACCTAACTCTCCTTATAGATCACTAAAACCAACTTTTCTCTAACAAACAATTTAACTTTTCTCAATATTTTATTAAACTAACAGCTCTTAAACTTCTAATTAAACCTTTTCTTTATAACTTTCTGCTCTAAAAACAATATACATTTATTTATACTTAATTTCTTGATACAACAAACTTTTATATTTTAATAAAATTATCTTTATTTATATTCTTTTTAAATT